TAATCATAGCTCACAGGCTATGATTCTGGACTCCAGTGATCCTCTGGCCTCAGCCTCCAGAGTAGCTGGGACTATGGGTACATGCCACCACACCCAGCTATTTGTTTTTATTTATTTATTTATTTATTTAGTAGACATGGAGTCTCACTATGTTGCCAAGGCTGTTCTTGGACACCTGGTCTCAAGCAATCCTCCTGCCTTGGCCTCCCAAAATGTTGGAATTATAGGCATGAGCCACTGTGCCCAGACTGGCTTATTTTAATATGTGGTAATTATTGCTAACAAGTTAGGAAGTATGCTGAAGAAACATGAGCCTCGTCCTTGTTGTTATAAATTGACCATTCCCTATTGTGTTTGTCTTTGTTATCTCTAATCAGTGGAGTGAATAGCGTGATGATGTGAAAAGGTTTGATCTGTACTGGCTGTTTCCCAATCTCCCTGGAAATACCAGCAAGATAAATTCCCCATTGTGCTGGATGATTGTGAGTGAGCTACAAGCAGAACTTGATACGCTGAAACATAACACAATTTGTAAGACATTATTGAACTTCTTAGTCAAAAGCAGATATCAAATTATATGTTGATTAAACACATATTGCTGAGATATTTTCCCCTGAAATTTACCTACCCAGATGATAAGTAATTGCACCACATCTCCTACTAGTGCCCTGTTAATTCTAGAAGTCTGTAAGAGACGTGCTTTGTGTTACTTCATCTCACTGCTTCTATCTTTTTGTAAATTACTAAAGATCATTGTTAATTTGAGCTTATGACAGCTTTCTGATATTTTCCTTTGGTACATGTGGAACTGAGTGATAAATGTAGTTCTTTGTCATGAGCACTATGGTTGTAATACCTTCCATTTATATTTGTCCCTTCCTTTGATCTCTTCTTTCCCCTGTGCATGCTGAATCACTTCAGGCCCCCATTTCTCTTTGGCAATCATGATTCCTTCCTGTATTTGCCTCTGTTCTCCCCATCTCATGCCAGCCTTCACATTGTCTTTGGTAAACTTCCTCAGACATGCTATTCACAAAGCTAGATGGCTCCACACTGCCTGGCTGTCACGTTCAATCCCACAGAACGCTATGGTGTCCCAACCTGTCATCATAACCCCATTCTCCACTGTGGCACCTCATTGCAGGCTGTGGTCAAGCTGGAGTTCTTCATATCCCCAGAACCATCATTCCTCTGCATCATGGCCCTCACTCTTTCCTGAGTCTGGGAGGCCCTCTCCTCATCTCTCTTACTGAAATCTTACTTGTCTTTATGACCTGCTGCAGCATGACACACTCATGAGGTCATCTGTGATTCTTGCTCGACCCTCCACCTCAGGCAAATCAAATTTTCTTTTCTCTTCATTCCTCTTATTCTTCTTATTTATTACCAATATGCCAGCCAGTCTCCTATTTGAAGTACAGTTATTCTCATGCATGCTTATTTCATCCACAAATTTCCAAATCTCCACAAAGATCAAAACTACCATTGTCATCTCTGTCTTTTCAAAGTGCCAGACAGGTGTTGTTGTCATTGATGAATTTAATTAGCATAGCATTTAATGATTTCAGAGTGCTTTGACAAACATCTATTCTCTCATCTGCCCCCGCCAACTCTCACAGGTAGGCTGGGCGGGTATTATTGGAATTACATAGATGAAGCCACTGGGGTGCCGAGAACTTAGGTGCCAATCAGTGGGGACAATAACAACTGGATGCCTGAAATTTATCTCATTTAATCTTCATATCAACCATATGGGGTGGGTATTGTCATCCGTGTTTTACAGTTGGGGAAACTAAGGCCCAGGGACACTCAGAATAACTTTCCTAATACCTTAACTAGAATATGACAGAATGGGGGCTCAGAGCCAGTCTGCCTAACAGGTGGCACCTACCTTTTTCCATTGAGGGGTACTCTATTTCTCTAATTTGGCACTGAAGATGATTAAATATGATTAGCAAGTGTGGCTTCTCTTTAATGTTTAGTCTATACCTCTTGGGGCAAACATGGGTGTCTGATCATCTCAGGACTGTGGACTTTGGAAGCATCTCCCCAGGACCTCGGTGTCCAGCAGGGGGAGCGGGAGCTCAGCATCTGTCTGGTAAGAGGTCTGAGCTCCTGTCCTGGTGCTGGTGGCTTTGCTGTCTTAATATCTCACCTGGCTTCTGGCTGGTAGTTCAACATCAGTGGTTTGCCGTTGTTTTCCCTTAGCTACGAGGATGGCCTCTGCCGTTACTGTTGACCTGTCTTAGATGGTGCAGGAATTGATGTCACAGAGAAACGTTGTCTTTGGTTCCCTGTGCTTCACAGGGCAAATAGAATAAGAAGCCACATGGCTTAAGAAGCCCACCTGAGAAAACATGGTAGGACTATAGTATGTGTTGTCTTGTCTTTTCTGGAACAAGGGCAAGCATAAATAAAAACAGAACATGGGGGACGGTATAAACTAGTGGGGAGACTGGGCCCCTGACAGGCAGAGCGTAGAAGGCAGATGGTGGAGGTGGGCCAGGGGAGGGGCACGGAAGGCTAAGGAGGCAAGTGGTGAGGCCTTGAGGGTCCAGGCAGGTAGCGATGGGCTGAGTGACTAAACAAGTGGTACTGCATGCCTTGGGAGCTGGTGGGTTATGTTTGGCCTGCAGAGATGACATTGAAGCAGAGATGGCAGGGATACAGTTGTGACTGAAAGCTAAGACTAGCTGGGTGAGGATGCAACGATGTACAAAGCTCAGAACTGTGGCTGCAATTGGCCTTTGCGGCAGGAGCTGGAAGTCTGGAAAGTTGAAGTGGGGCCTGGCATTGAGCTTGTCAGCATGGGGTTAGGGGAGTGCTTATGGCATGGAGGAGGGGATGTACTCATAACCCTGAGAAGTCAGGCTGATGCTGGCAAGCAGGTAGTGGTGAACGCCTAAGGAGGATGGCACTAGAGATGGCACTGCCATGGCTTGGCAGAACTTGCTGCAGGAGTCCTGCACCTCTCTTTTCAAGGTACCCATCTGTAGTGCTTTTCTGAATCCAGTGGGGGTGGGGGCAGTAAATTTTAGAATTAAAAATTCTTCCAGAACCAAGGAAATACAGCTTTTTTGGCCAGTGCCTGGATGGAAGGAACAGACACAAGTGCACAACAGTGTCATGTACATTACCTCACAGAGGAGGTATTTTGAGATAGGAGCCATGCTTTACGCCCCCTCAAGTATGCCTTGCTAAACATCCTGATTACTCAGAAGATTGTCATCTGAAGTCGAGGGGTCCAAGATTCCTGGTGGCCACCTTGACTTGTCTCCCAGCAAAACCTTTCTTTTTAATTTCCCAGTCTTCAGCACAAATGCATTCTCTTGATTTGTGACAGTAGGAGGAGAAATCATTAGGTTTCTGTTCCTTCTATTGTTGACTGGGATTCAGATAGGCATAGGTTTGAGCTTCTCTGATGACCTAGGGAATAGTTCTAATTATTTAGTGGAAATGAAGCAACTGTTTCAACATGAGATCCACAGAACTTAAGAAGACATAGTGCCAAGAATTCATTTCCAAGTGGTTAGGGAAACTATTAAGCACTTTTGGTTACTGATGCCAAATTAAGAAACTCACTTAAGCCAAGGCTCATTGTTGGCTTATCAAAATCATAGTTTTGAAAACTCAAAGTATTGAAAAAATGTTCTTTATTAAAACCAAGGAGAAGAAATATGTCTAAATGAATTTTTGTGATGCAAAATCATGATGTGTGTTTAAAAATAACATCCACCCCCCAATTTTGAAAGTGTTGAATGCTCATGGTAGAAAAAGTTGAGAAATATGAAACTAAAGAATTAAGAATATAACATCTGTAATCTTCTACTTAGAAATGACCACTCAAGATTTTAGTGAATTCATTCTGGGCTTTAGTTTTCAGTTGTGTGAACTGGCTTTTTTTTTTTTTCCTCCCGATAATGCTATGTAGTGAGCATTTTCCAATGTCATTCAGATTAATTACAAACCTTTTAAATGGCTGCATAATCACTGTGTGAATGTGCCATTATTTAATTTTTTAACTTTAGGAATTTTCATCTTGAAATAATTTGTCTCACCCAAAGTTGCAAAAATAGCACAAAGATTTTTAGTATACTTTTCAGCCAGCTTTTGCAAATGTTAGTATCTTGTATAATCATATACAATGATCAAAACTAGAAATTAACTATGATACAATATTTTAATCTCCAGACCTTACCCACATTTCATGAATTGTTCCACTAATATCTAGGACCATGTCATGCATTCAGTTGTAGTGTCTCCTTAGTTTTCTCTATTTGGGGATAGTTCCTTCATTTTTATCTTTTATTACCTCAGTTTATTTTGTAGAATGTTCTTCAATTTGAGTTTGTTTGACATTTTCTCGTGATTCAATTCAGGTTATGCATTTTTGGTAAGGATACCACAGAGATGACGTGCCCTTCTCTGAATCTCAGTGCATCAGTTCAGAAGGTGATGTACTATAATTTATTAAGACATTTTTCTGGACTTAAACATTTAGGTAGTTTCTGGTTTTTTTGTGTAACTCTGCATCTTTATATCTGATTCTTTTCTTTTCTTTCTTTTTCTTTTTTTTTTTGACAGAGTCTTGCTCTGTCACCCAGGCTGGAGTGTGGTGGTACAATCTTAGCTCACTGCAACCTCCACCTCCTGGATTCCAGTGATTCTTGTGGCTCGCAGCCCCCTGAGTAGTTGGGATTACAAATGTACACCACCACACCCGGCTAATTTTTATATTTTTAGTAGAGATGGGTTTCGCCACGTTCCCTAGGCTGGTCTTGAACTCCTGACCTCAAGTGATCCAACTGCCTTGACCTCCCAAAGTGCTGGGATTACAGGAGTGAGTCACCACACCCGGCCTATATTTGATTATTTTCTAAGAAGTGATTCTTAAAAATGGAGTGAGTCAAAGAATGTAACTTTTTTTTTTTTTTTTTTTTTTAAAGAAACAAGATCTGGCTGTGTCACCCAGACAGGAGTGCATGTAACCTCAACCTCCTAGGCTCAAGCAATTCTCCTGCCCCAGCCTCCTGAGTAGCTGAGATTATAGGTACAAGCCACTGCATCTGGTATAAACATTTTTAAGGCTTTTGCCAGCATATTTCAAAATTTTTTTCCTGAAAAGTTTTATCCATTTACTCTGATGAATAGAATGCCTCTCTCTCTGACCTTGCCATCACTGAATGTTATTAGCAACAAAATAAAAACTCTGTTAATTTGATTACTATGGAGGCCAATCAGCTTTACATGTATTTCTTAACCATTTTTCATTCTGGTTTTATGACATCTAATAACTCTCAAACTCTTTTGCACAGTGCTAAGTGCTTTGCATATACTGTCTCATTTAATCCTAACTACTCCCTGAGGATAATATGATTATTATTTATATTTCACAGATTAGAAAAACATGGGGGGTCAGAATATTTAAATAATGTTTAATTTTAATGTTTAAATTCAGATAGCTATTAACTGATGGAGACAGAATTAGAACTCAGAACTTCTGATTTAAAAGCATATACACATAACATTTATGCTATCATCTCTTTTTGTGTTACAAAGTATTTTCTTTAACAATGACAGCTTTTATGTTTAATACTTCCAACATCTTCAAAATGGTAACAGAAAAATCTGTGCTGAGTGGTTTAATTCTTAAAATGTGAAAAGCTCTCAGAAAATGAGAACTCAGGAGGGTTTATTCTTTTCATTTAAAACCTGTGCGTTGCTGAATTTCTTAAAATTGATACTGAGCTCTTTAAAAATAATTGCAGTAAAATGGCTCCTTTAAAACTTTTTTGGTGTGTGTAAAACTGTTTTAAAAGTGTAAAACTCTGTTTTAAAAGTGTAAAACTCTTCTAATCTTGCCTCCTTCTGTTTTAGGAATGATATCCTCATGAAAGCACAGAAAATAAATAGCTTGTTTTTTTTTTTAATTTAAAAGAGACAATAGTAACTCCAGACATTAGTTTCCCCCTTTCATTTTCATTTTCAAAATGCTCATAGTTGAATTACCTATCCTGTGAATAAGTGAGGGCAAGTTTTTCTATCTCCTATGGAAACAGAAGCTGAGAAAGGTTCAGTGATCTCTCTAGTCATACAGCTAGTTTGTAGCAGATCTGGTACCAAAATATAGGCTATGTATATATCAGCTCTTTCCACCATATAAAAGTAACTTAGGAATGAGGTATGAAATACTGAGATTCTAAATACTCCTCAAACTTTTATGTCTTTTCTAAGTAAGAAAATAATATCCATTCTGGATATCTTAATTTTGGTATCTCACAAATTATCTTAAGAAACATGTCACAAATGAAACTTATTTTTCTCCCTAAATCTATTTTCTCAAAATGTCAGTGAATGCCCCACCATCTTTCCATTTGCTTAAGCCAGAAACTTGGGAGTCATCCTTAGCTCCTTTGCTCTTTCATTCAACTCTCAAGCTCTGTGGTTTTATCTCCTGAGAAAACTCTTATTCCTTTCCTTAGTTTAGACTATTACAGTATGGAGGTGACCCTGCAACAAAGTGAGGGCTAGGGGTGCACAGTCTAAAATCCCTCATAAAACTTTTTACTTCCCCCAAACTTAACTACTAATAGTCTACTATTAACCAGAAGCCTTACTAATAACATAGACAGTAGATTAACACATCTTTTGTATGTTATGTATATATTGTATACTGTTTTCTTACAATAAAGTAAGCTAGAGAAGAGATAATATTAAGAAAATCATAAGAGAAAATATATTTACTATTTATTAAGTGGAAGTGGATCATCCTAAAGGCCTTCATCCTCATTGTCTTCATGCTGAGTAGGCTGAGGAGGAAATGGAGGGGTTGGTCTTGCTGTCTTGGGGGTGCTAGAGACAGAAGAGGTAGAGGGAGCAGGAGAGGCAGGCACCTTCGGGGTGACTTTATGGAAATATATCATAATTTCTGTTAGACTTTTGTGCTTTACATTTATTTAAAAATGTTTCTATATAGTACCGATCCTTCTTCCACTGTTTCCTTTTGTTTTAGTGCCTGTAACATAGAAGAGTCCATGTCTTAAAAGAAGTCCAAAGCAGTCTTGAATGATCAGAACCCTTCTGCCAGATTGTCTAATGTCAGTTTGTTTCCCGGCACTGCTTCTACATCTTCCTCATCTTCTGGCACAGGTTTGGAAGCACTCGTCTCCATCAAACTGTCTTCTGTTAATTTCTCTAGTGTGGTGTCTATTTGCTGTTAAATATTTCCATAGTCTCTATCTTGAAGCTCTTCACCGCCCACCCCCTCCACCCCACTGTTTTTGCCATATCCAGTTTCTTTCATGATTTCCTTGATTGGCCGTGTTGTTAATCCTGTGAAGTCATGTACAACTTCTGGATGGTTTTCTCCAGTAGGAAGGTATTGTTTTGGGCTTGATGGCTTTCATGGCTTTTTCTATAACAATGATGGCATCTTCAATGGTGTAGTCCTTCCAAGCTTTCATAATGTTCTATTAGGGTTCACTTTCATAATGTTGACAATTTTTTCTAGAGAGTATACTGTGCAATGAACTTCAAGGTCTTTATGATCCCCTGATCTAGAGGCTGAATTAGAGACCTTGTGTTTAGGGGCAAGTAGACCATCTCAATGCCTTCAATGTTGAACTCCTGGGGTTCTGGGTGGCCAGGGGCATTGTCCAATATCAAAAGAACTTTAAAAGGCAACCCTTTGGCCGGGCGCGGTGGCTCAAGCCTGTAATCCCAGCACTTTGGGAGGCCGAGACGGGCGGATCACGAGGTCAAGAGATCGAGGCCATCCTGGCTAACACGGTGAAACCCCGTCTCTACTAAAAATACAAAAAACTAGCCGGGCGAGGCGGCGGGCGCCTGTAGTCCCAGCTACTCGGGAGGCTGAGACAGGAGAATGGCGGGAACCCGGGAGGCGGAGCTTGCAGTGAGCTGAGATCCGCCCACTGTACTCCAGCCTGGGCGGCAGACCGAGACTCCGTCTCAAAAAAAAAAAATAAATAAATAAAATAAAATAAAATAAAATAAAAGGCAACCCTTTATTGGCAAGGTACTTCCTGACTTCAGAGACAAAACATCAATAGAACAAATCCAGAAAAAGTGTTCTTGTTGTTCAGGCCATTTTGTTGTATAACCAAAATACTTATAGTTGGTATTTATATTTTCTCATCAAGGCTCAGGGGTTAGCAGCTTTTTAGATAAGAGCAATCCTGATCATAAACCTGACTACATTTGCACAAAATGGTAGCTAGTCTCTCTCTTTCTGTCTTAAATCCTGGAACTCGCTTCTCTTCTTTACTAATAAATATCCTTTGTGGCATTTCTTTTTTTTTCCTAGAACAGGGCACTTTTATCTACATTAAAAATCTGTTCAGATGGATAACCTTCCTCCTCCATGATTTTCTTAATGGCATCAGGGAACTCACCTCTTGGTCAGCAGAAGTTGCTTCTCCTGTTATCTTGACATTTTTAAAGCAAAACCTCTTTCTAAAATTATCAAACCATCCTTTGCTGACATTAAATTCTCCAGTTTTATATCCTTCACCTACCTTTTGTTTTAAGTTGTTATTTAATGACTTTACTTTTTCTCTAATTATATTCAAGCCCATAGATATGCCTTTCTTATAGCAATCTGCTCTGCATAAAAGCTGCATTTTCTTTATTTTAAAGACAGAGTCTCATTCTGTTGCCAGACTGGAGTGCAGTGGTGCGATCTCAGCTCACTGCAACTGCTGCCTCCTGGGTTCAAGCAATTCTTCTGCCTCAGCCTCCTGAGTAGCTGGGACTACAGGTGCGTACCACCACACCCAGCTAATGTTTTGTATTTTTAGTAGAGACAGGGTTTCACTATATTGTCCAGGATGGTCTCACCTGACTCAGCCTCCTGAAGTGCTGGGATTACAGGTGAGGGCCACCGTGCCTGGTAAAAGTTGCATTTTCAATATGAGACAGAAAGGTGTTTTGGAAAAAGTGCAAAATTTTTGCACCTACTGGCATAGACGAATTGACAGCTTCCTGAATTTTTTTTTCTTATTTTACAGTGGTCCTTACACTGGATTTATTTATCTTGAATAGGCAGACAACTGGAGATGCAGATCTCAATCTATGGTGCATATCAAGCAATTAAACTTTTTCTTGTAATGTTATGATTTTTTTCTGCTTTCTGGGAACATTTCCAGCATTACTTACTAGTGGCACTTTGTATGGTTCCCATGGTGTTATTTAAGGTTAATGGTGTTACACTTAAGCATGATGAACCAAAAGAGGTCACTTTTTACTGTGACACACAATTTACTGGAATGATGAAATGTTCACTTGGAGATAATTAGTGCTACATGGTGTGAAGTACATACTTGTGACACTTGAGCTCACTGCAGTAGCAGCAGGAGGTGTCTACAAAATTATTATAATAGTATAGTATTACTACAGTTAATTTTATATGGTTATGATTTAATACTGCATCCTTATATTTGGTTACATTTGTCTTGACTGTGAATAAGTGTTTGCATGTGTTTTGATGAATTTTAACTTTTTGTGATAGATTTGTGTATATTTTATGGTAGTAAATGGTAAAATAGACTAATAACTACATATTTTATGCCTTCATGACGTACGTTTTTCTTAATTTTTTAAGTATTTCTCAGCTGTGGGTTTGTTTTTTTCAAATTATTGTAAATCTCCAAAAACTTTTCTAATATATTTGTTGAAAAAAATCCACATGTAAGCAGAACTTTGTAGTTCAAACCTGTGTTATTTGAGTCAACTATGGTCTCTTCTGTGAGTTTACAGCAGTTACCTAACTGGAATCTACCCCTCCAATCTTGTCCCCTGACCTATCCCATTCTTCCTTATGTGGCATCCAGAATGACCTGGCTCCAGGCCAATAGCACTTGTCCACCCAGCTGGGACATGGGTAGAAGAGCTGCTCTCAATTGGCCATCCAAGGTAGATATTGTATGGACAGTTATAGGGGGCTTGGGTGTAATTGATTTCCCGAACCCATTGTAATATTATTTTAAATTATAATAAACTATACCATCATGTCTTCTCATATCAAGTACATACTAAGGAGGTTACAAATGGATGGACACATGACAGCTTGGGTCTGACCATCTCAATCAGGTTTAACTAGGTTCTAGCAAGGCAATCATTCAGAGCCTTGTTATTTTAACAGCTTTGATCTTCCTGGAAGCTGAATTTGAATAGAAGGAAAACTGCTGATTGTGATTAATGTTATACCCAAGGTTTTTTGTGGAAAAACATGTGTGTGTGTGTGTGTGTGTGTCTTAATGCTTAGTCTGTCTAATGATAATATCTGAATTCTATCAATTTTGTGTTCTGCTGTCATGTAGAAATTATTCACTTGGGACTAAAATTGTCCAAATGGATGAATTCTTTGGAGAACTGAGGATTTACTTCTTTAAACTCGAAAACTGTGTATTTGGCATTTTGAATCAGAAATGTGTTATAAACCTCCCCATCAATGTAACCAGTATAAATTGTTGTTTTATTGATTACTCAGGACTTTAAATGTAAGTGGGTACAGTGATGTTTCTAGGGTCTATTGAGAAATAGCAAGGTATTTGCCCCATCACTAAATAGCCCCAGATAGCCATTTTCAACTTTTTGTAGTTTTTCTGTCTCTCCTCTAGTTGATATTTCATACTGTTGCCAGTGAGTTTACCTGTAGCAACTCTTGTTCCCAATTTTGTTGTTTCCAATTTTGTTGAATACTGGAGAAACCAAACCAAGCCTTAGAGAGTTGTATGTAAAAGAGTATGTACAAGAGTAAATAGGTCCAGAATAAGAGTATAGGGGCTTATCTAGGATCAAAGTGTATACATGTCAGAACAGAGGCTTTGTTACATCCACTATTTGAAACAGGTCTTTAAAGACTAATAGTAAAATAAATATCCATATATTACATCTGCCATTTGAAGGTCAAAATGGTAGATTATTGGCAGTTTCATCTGGTTAAACCTAATATATATATACCATGCATGAGTGAGCTAGATTAGTGTTTTGCAATTTACTGTGGTCAGCTTTCTTTGTGTGTGTGTGGTAATTTCCACTCCATCACAGTCAAATTCTTTTGCAAAAGACAATAAAAACAGATTGCTAGAAAAATTAGATGAAAACATACAAAATAAAAGCCCATTTATTTTATTAGATTAGTATAGACACAAAATTATATTTTAATACAAATAATCAGAACAACCTCATATAGGAAAAAAGAGATATAAAACTGCACATACTCAATATGTATACATACATTTGATTAATATGGAAATTACTGAACATGCAAATTCTGTTCTTTGCCATCATAACTAAACACAGTTATAAGGGAAATAATGATTCGTGGTTTTGAACTTGTTTTTTTAATTCAAACACCACTTAGGTTTCAGCGTTTAGGTGGTTCCATTACTTCCTTAGCTTCTACAAATAACACCCAGGGTTTAGCACTTGACCATAACTTACATCTACAAAATCAGACAAACCCAGCATTTGAGGGATCATATTTTGAGAAAAACAGGTACAAACTCTTTTAACCTTTTTCTCTTTGGAATCATTCCCATTGTCATCATTTAGTCAACTACTATCACTACATTCAGAAAAAGTGTGTCTTCTTTGAGCAAAAATATCCAGTGAAGCTTATTTTGCCATCTGTTTTTTAAAAGGGCTTGACCAATATTTAAATGGGTGTGAGGGGGTGGAATGGGGGTTTTAATGTACACAAGTCTCTTAATCCCTAGTCAGTGAAGACTGGAGACTCCAGGGCTTGGAGAATGCGTTTCTTAGATCAAGACATCTAAACTTCTCAAATGCTGAATTACTAAGGATTACTCTGCCAACTGTTGACTTATTATTTAGTTATGGTTAATTTGTGAGTCATGTGAATATATCAATACATCTTAACATCTGAAAACTGATTATTCATCTAGTTATACTGTACACTATTGTAAATTATAAAGTGGAATTAATCTATTCCACTCATATAATGAAAACAAAATATTCATAGTAAAGATAAAATATATAAAAACAAGCAAATTGGATTGAGTGGTTCACCAAGTCTCGGAATATTTTCACTGTGTAACTAAGGACACTTGTCTAGAAGGTGTGATTTTCTCTTAGGTTGGGGCCCCACAGTCTGTGTTTAAACACACCTTCCAGTGATTCTGATGCATGCTAATTATTGAGAAATATTGGGTGAAAGCATACATTCTACTTATCCTCAGTTTTTCTAGGTTGTAGGGCATGAAGAGGAAGGCAGGAGCGCAGTTAACCAGCCTATGGTCAAGTTAGGCTGAGTATAGATTACAAGATAAGCTGGCTCATCTGGGCGTTCTGTCCTCTGTTTCAAAGACACTAGGTGTCCAAGGGATAATAGCTCCCCAGCACAGCTGCCTTTTGGTCACGCTGCTTCAGTCTGGACTGTTGTCCTCTAAACCTGATACACTGGTATTAACCAGAAACCCCTCTCATTGTTCCACCTTGAGATTACCTTCAAATCTCTCCTCTTTCCTCTACTCCACGTCTTCCTTTTCCTCGGCTTATTCTCTTGTTTCGGTGAAGCCCATATGCAGTACTTATTCCAAAAGAATGCATGAGATGTACATTTTTGGAGTCCTGGAATATGTAAAAATGTGTTCATTGTATCTTCACACTTGATTAATTGTTTGGATGAATTGAGAATTGTTGACGCCATTGCTCCATTCCTTCAAGATTTTTCCTCATTTTTTTTATTGTGATAAAATACATCACATAAATTTAGTATCTTAATGATTTTAAGTGTATAGTTCAGTGTGGTATTACCTACATTCATAATGCTCAACTATCACCACCGTCCATCTCCATAACTCTTTTAATCTTGTAAAACTGAAACTCTGTACACATTAAACAACTACCCCTCATTCTCTTTTCTCCCCAGCCCCTGGCAACCATCATTCTACTTTTCCTTTCCATTTTCCTTTCCTTTCCTTTTCTTCTTCCTGATGGGATCTTGCTCTGTTGCCCAGGCAGGAGTGCAGTGGTGTGATCACAGCTCACTGTAGCCTCAACCTCTCAGGCTCAAGCAATTCTCTCACCTCAGCCTCTCAAGTAGCTAGGAATACAGGTGCATGCCACCACACCTGTCTAATTTATTTTTATTTTTATTTTTTGTAGAGATGGAATCTCTATGTTGCCCAGGCTGGTCTCCAACTCCTGGAGTCAAGCAATGCTGCTCCTGCCTTAGCCTCCCAAAGTGCCAGGGTTACAGGTGTGAGCCACTGCTCCCACCCCCACCATTCTACTTTCTGTTGCTATCATTTTCACTACTCTACCTCATAGAATTGCAATCATAGGCTGGGTGCGGTAGCTCACGCCTGTAATCCCAGCACTTTGGGAGGCCAAGGCGGGCGGATCATGAGGTCAGGAGTTCGAGACCAGCCTGGCCAATATGGTGAAATCCTGTCTCTACTAAAAATACAAAAATTAGCAGGGCGTGGTGGTGTGCACCTGTAATTCCAGCTACTCGGAAGGCTGAGGCAGGAGAAACGCTTGAACTCAGTAGGTGGAGGTTGCAGTGAGCCAAGATCATGCCACTGCACTCCAACCTGGGCAAGAGAGAGTGAGACTACATCTTAAAAAAAAAAAGAATTGCAATCATGTAATATTTGTCTTTTTTTTGTTTGTTTGTTTATATGTCAATATTTGACTTATTTCACTTAGCATAATGTCATCAAGTTTTATCCATGTTATAGCATAGGTCAGAATTTCCTTCCTTTTAAGGATGAATAATATTCCATTGTATGTGTATGCTGCATTTTGCTTATTCATCCTTCAGTGGACACTTCGGTTGCTTCCATGTTTTAGCTATTGTGAATAAAGCTACTATGAACATCTGTGTACAAATGTTCAAGACTCTGTTTTCATCCTTAAAAAACTAAAAACAGAACTGCCATATGATCTAACAATCCCAGTTCTGGGATATATTCAAAGGAATTGAAATCAATATGTTGGAGGGATATCTTCATACACAGAAAGACAAATACCACATGATCTCACTTACATGTGAAATCTAAAAAAGTTGAATTCATAGATGTAGAGAGTAGAAATGATGATTACCAGAGGCTTGGGACAGCACTGGGGAGCAATGGAATGGGGAGTTTTGTCAAGAAGTACAAAGTTTTGGTTGCACAGGAAGAATAAGTTTTGAGATCTGTTGCACAGCAGGGTGACTGTAGTCAATAATAATGTATATTTCAAAATAACTAAAAGAGTAAGTTTCAATTGTATCACCACAAAAAATGTTAAGTAAATGAGGTGATGGATGTGTTAATTAGCTTGATGTAATCATTCCCCATTGTATATATATGTCAAAGCATCACATTATACTCCATAAATATAATACAATTATGGTTTGTCAATTAAAATAATATTACTTAAACAATTTAAAAAATAAAATTGCAACCACTTCTCCACCTCCTCAAAGACCCTGTTTCAGTTTTTATTTTTGTAATAAAGTTTTCTTTCTTTCAAATAAACTTTATTGTGTATATTTGAGGTTGACAACTTGATGTTATGGGGTACATATAGATAGTAAAATGGTTATTACAGAGAGGCAAATTAACATATCTAATGTCACACAGTTACTTTTTTGGAGCAAGCACAGCTGAAGTCTACTTATTAAACAAAAATTCCTAATATGATTTTATTAGAGTCCTCATGTTGTACATTAGATCTCTACACTTCTTCATCTGTGATTGCCACTTTGTAGCCTTTGACTTACTGCTCCCCATTCCCCACACACCCCCTGCTCCAGTAGCTACTATTTTCTGTTTTATTCTCTTTCTCTGTACGTTTGACCTTTTTTTAAAAAAAATTTAAGATTCTACACATAAGTGAGATGAAGCAATATTTTTCTTTCTGTGACTGGCTAATTTTGCTTAGCATAATGTCCTCTAGGTCCACCTCCTATTGTGGCAAATGATGGGATCTCATGTTTCAAGGCTGAATAATATCCCATTGTAAATATATCTATATAGCTCTCACATTTTCTTTACTCTTTCATTCATTGATGAACACTAAGTTTGATTCCATATCTTTGCTATTGTGAATAGTGCTGCAATGAACATGGGAGTGCAGAAATCTTCAGGAGGTGGTGACTTCACCTCCTTTGGGTACATACCCAGAAGAGGGATTGCTGGGCCATATGGTAGCTCTATTTTTAATTTTTAAGGACTCTCCATACTGTTTTCCATATTGGCTACACCAGTCTACATTTCCACCAGAGTACTAGGGTTTCCTTTTCTATACACCCTTGCCAGCATTTATTATTTCTTGTCTTTTTTATAATCTTGTTTTTCATCCTGTATTGTTCTGTTTTCACACTGCTGTAAATATACTACCTAAGATCGGGTAATTTATAAATAAAAGAGGTTTAGTTGACTCAGAGTTCCACATGGCTGGGAAGGCCTCAGGAAACACAGTTATTGGCAGAAGGTGAAGGGGAGGCAAAGTATGTCTTACATAGCAGCAGGAGACAGAGAGGGAGCTCAGGAAAAACTGTCACTTTTAAAACTATCAGATCTCGTGAGAATTCACTATCATGAGAAAGATGTGATCTTGGGAAACCGCCCCCATGATCCAATCACCTCCCACCAGGTCCCTCCCTCGAGGGGATTACAATTCCAGATGAGATTTGGGTGGGGACACAGGGCCAAACCATATCATATTTTTTTGACTATATACTGTGAAGTGAAATTGTTGGATCAAGGTAATTCTGCTTTTAATTTTGAGGAACTACCATAGTGTCTTCCACAGCAGCTGTACCATTTTACAGTCTTGCCAATGGCACACAGGGGTTCCAGTTTCTCTACATTTTTACCAACACTTGTTTTTGTTTGTTTGTTTGTTTTTTGTTTTTTTTGAGATGAAGTCTCTCTCTCTCTTGCCCAGGCTGGAGTACAGTGGCACCATCTTGGCTCACTGCAACCTCCGCCGCCTGGGTTCAAGTGATTCTCATGCCTCAGCCTCTGCAGTAGCTGGCACTACAGGCATGCACCACCATGTCCTGCTAATTTTTGTATTTTTAGTAGAGATGGGGTTTCACCATGTTGGCCAGGCTGATCTTGAACTCCTGACCTCAAGTGATTTGCCTGCCTTGGCCTCCCAAAGTGCTGGGATTTCAGGCATGAGCCACCATGCCTGGCCTGTTTTTATTTTTTATTTAATAGTAGCCATTCTAATGGGCGTGAGGTGGAATCTCATTGTAATTTTGATTTGCATTTCCCTAGTGATTGGTGATGTTGAGCACCTTTTCATGTACTTACTAGCCATTCGTATGTCTTATTTGGAGAAATGTCTGTTCAAATCCTTTGCCCATTTTTGAATCTGCTTGTTTTTTGTTATTGAGTTTGAGGGGTTCTCTATGTATTCTGAATATGAAGCCTTTGTCAGATATATAATTTGCAAATGTTTCCTCCTATTCCGTAGATTGCCATTTTTCTTTCTTGGTAGTATCTTTTTATGCATAAAATCTTTAAATTTTCATGAAGTTCACTTTTTCTGTTTTTTTTTTTTTTTTTTTTTTTTTTGCTGCCTATGTCTTTGGTATTATATTTAAGAAATCACTGTCTGCTCCA